AGAGACAAACGAGAGCGGAGCTTTTTCATCGAAAAATGCTCACAGTTAACGCAGATTGCCCCCGAGGACATCGCGTGTGTGCTCTTCGCCTAAACAAAAGACGCAAAGATCAGGTGTGTCATCAGGTGTCAAATAACGATGACACGGATGCACACATCTTCTAAACGCTTTGCTAGTGCTCGCCATAATGAAGGAAGAAAAATCGCTCTTACCACGGAATGCACGCTTCAAACAAAAGTCAATGAAGACGAAGAAGAGAATGACGTGTTCTCCCGGCGCCTATTTATACTATAGTCGCACCGGTAGTGACGTCATGGGCTGTCGCCGGCCAACATGTTTTTGGTGTTTTTTTTTAATGTATGCTTCAGACACGGGTCACGACGAGGCGTTCCCCATAGAGGACGCAGTTCGAAGTTCCTTTGAAAGGGAACCATGGTTACTACACTTTTACTGTAATAAAACCATGGTTATTTTTACTCTCTGAACTGTAACAGTAGGTTACTGCATTTTTATACAACTAATGCCCAATAAAGCAGTTCTCATTTACATATTTTCTGTTTCTGAAATAGTACTTCAATGTAACCTGCAGTCACTTCAACTGAATTGATAAACTCTTGAATTATAACTGCAATACGCTGTTATACAGCAGTGAATTATATTACTTTATTCTATGTATCATGCAGCACAAACGTCTGTCTGTGTAACAAACTATTTACAGAACTACATTCATGTTCATATGCCCAGACAGTCAACAGTGATAGGTTTTTGGAAACGCTGTTTGGTACTCATTCAAGTACAATTCAAGTCTTCTGCAGTTCGGTCCATTGAACTCTGCCGGTCGAGAAAGACGAGCCGCGTCGGGAAGGCGAAACCTCACGTTCGCAAGGCGAAACCGGTGACATTATTCTACTGAATGGAAAGGTTTATCCAAAATGTTAGTTGCTATGCACTTTGTCTTACAAAAAAGTTGGTAAACACTGCAACACGCCTCTGTGTGTGTGTGCCACGCAAGTCTGAGAGATACGAATGCACTTGAAATACGAAGTGGAGGCGGGTCCGGTTTGAATTCCCTCCCGGTCAAAAAAAACAAAAAACATCAAATTTAAATCACTCAAAAAAAAGTATAACCATACAGGTAAGACTAAACAATAAACCTAACAAGTAGCATGTTTAAGACATGTTTTTTTGGAAGCATCAACAAATCTTGCAGTAGGACTTTGATCTTACTTTGAAGTGGCTGACTGGCACAAAAAAAAGCAGTCATTGGCTCATTCAATTCTTTGTTTTTGTATGTGTGAGTGACTTTAAATGACTTTGTATGTGAGAGTTTTTATTTAACAAAATTAAAAAAAAAGGCTCTGTTATAGGCTCATTCAATGTTTTGTTTGTGGGTGTGCTTGTGTGAATGTTTGCCACATTGAGAATGTTGTATATGCTCACCCCTTCATTTATGTGTATGTATGATCTGCATTGAGTTGAATTTTTTTTTATTTATTGGACAAATAAAAAAATGCTCTGAATTATAGTATTTCCCATTCATTTCCTATGGGTTCCCACTTTTGTCCACGAAAAACAAAATTAACCCATTTAATCCCACTGGTCACAATAAAAAGGTTTTCATTTATAAAACTCTAAAAATTATTGACTGGTGTTTTAGTGCATTTTCTGCAAATATGGAAAAAATAAAGGGTCTGAATTAAATATGTGCAGTTTCACATGTTTAGTGCAAATTGTCACATGACCAGAGCAGTTTACTTCCTGTTTGCACCATGAAATGATGATTGCTGCATCAAAGCTCCAAAACAAAAGGCAAGTAATGTATATTAACAAAGATATGACAAAGATTCTTGGTACACATTATCTTTAAGGTGTCTAAGTATTAATATATGAATTCACAATTATTCCGTTTTGTTGACTGTGGACATAGAATGAGTAAATATGTTGATGGCAACAATAGTGACTGTTGGGATAATAACTTTTTTTTTTTTTTTTTTTTTTAGTATCCCTTTTCAGCAGGTTTCTTAGTATACCTATTCAGTGTTATATAAGAGTTTTTTATGTAAAATAGTAACCATAGAATGTGATGAAACAGTTTAAAATGGGTTAATAACTGGGCTGAGATATATAAGAATTTTGATTACTGCAGAAATAATTTTATTTCAGTATACACATTATCCCACTGGTCACAATTGTGACCAACCATAAAATACACGCTTTTCCATTAAAAAAAAATATATAAATAAAAAAATTATTGATTATTTCAAGGGGTTACTAATGACACATTTTGATATTTTCATGTCTGAGAAAAATTTTGGGATTAAATGGGTTAAGCGTCTGCTAAATGCATAAACTATAATTAAATTATAAATTATAAAGCAGGTGATGGAGATTTACTACTAATCACAGAACCGGCTTTACTGACGAGATGTGCATGACAATCGCATTCGATTAATCGTGCAGCCCTACATGCCCATTTCTTGCTTTAAAAAAAAAAATCCATTCTTTGCTACTCTGTGGCTTTAGAAAAAATAAAATAAATACACAGTGGGCACATGCATTTAAAATAAGAGTACTATTGCAAGGACTATTGTTTGTGTCACACTTCCTGTTGCCAGCTGGTGGTGCTATGACCATGATCCACATAGCCACATTCATGTGATCAGCCCCACTGACCAAACATACAGCTTTAATTTTATCTAAATAATACAATGTACTATATAGATATTAGATATTGCATTCTTTCTATGAATTTCTTTCTATGAATTTTTTCTTGTTGAATAGAGTCCATTTTTTGTGTGTGTGTGTTCAGGTGGCAAACAGGAAAAGTAGCCAAGTCTTGTACCACCCAGATTAAGGAAACTATAAAAAAAAAAAAAAGAAAAAAAAAAGAAGATTTTACCCAAATTTGTCCTGAAGGATGCTTGAGGGTTAAACAACGATCGAGTTGGCTTTTTAACAATATTTTCCATGTATAAACTTTCATGAATACCCTATATTAGCTCCTCATATCCGGATTTAAGGTCTGAGCTAATGCCCTGTCTAGGATATTTACCGCTGTATTGATGAACATGAAGGTGGGGTTCCCTTACTGACAATGAGACCTTTTGTGTGGGAAGAACAGTTGCCATACAGCCTCTGTAAAAGGCACACTAGTTGAAAGATAAAAAAAATACCAGACCAACTAAATGGGCCAAGTTTTCCTAACATGGAAAAAGACAGACAGAGAAAATTAGTGGTTAAAAGATAAAGTGTGTACCTCTGGTATAGTCTATTACAGCCTCCAGTGCAGCAATCCTCACATCCACAAAGTGACCATACTGAGCGTAGGACTTGAACAGGCTGGGGTCACTGGGGATGTGTCCGTTCTTCTGTAGCATGCGGATGGCCCGTAAGCAACTACAGCACAGAATTGACAATTAAAAAAAAAATACTTATAATATATTATATAATTATGCTTAAATTCTTTTCTTTTTTTCCCCAAAACTAAAATGATCATTTTACTGGTTCATTTAATGGACAATTGGCCAGTTATTGAGATAATGAATGCATCAAGATTTTGGTTCAAAAGAATACCAAGACAAAGCAAAAATTAAATCCAGGCAAAGGGTGGCTTTTTTGAAAAAGCTGGAAGTTACACTATACAATATTTTTGTTATATTATATCCATCTTCCAAAATTTATGTTGCCTTATCTTGAATCACTATGGCATGCCTATAAGTGTTTATTATTCAGACCAACCACAGCAGAGTAGCCCAGTTCCTTTGTCACTTCGTCATATACATACAGGAAACACAATGAAGCAGCTCAGGCTACATTGTTCTTCCACAAGACACATGCAGTTTTGTTTATTAACCTCTAGAGTGCCAAGGTATATACAGTGTACCTTGAAATATAAGTTCTGATAAAACATAAAATAAAACATTATAAACATAAATCACAAGTATTATTTTCCTACGGTTTATTAGGGTAGGGCCCTTTTATTTCCACGATGCAAAAAACGCAGACTAAATCACGAAATCCAGTTATAAAAATGGAATTTACAGTTTAACGTGGAATGTCACAGAATTTGTCAAAGTTTGGATGAATTAATCAAAAGTAGGTCATTACACCTAAATCAAAACATGATATGGATAAGTATCTGTAAATATTAAGTCGCAAAAAGACCATTTAAATATAAATTCTACATGTTCTGCGTGTCTCTGTATGAATGTATGGCACAGACACTCATTTTTGTTTACTACTCATTAGGGCCGACACGTTTTGTCAATTCTATTAGAGTATGCGATTTAAAAAATCGATTTCATTTTGCCCGCGTCGACTAACCGGCAAAATACCGGAAGTGGCGCATTTCACGGACTCCCAGAATCCATGAAACACATTATTAGGCTGTTTTCCAAGGCAGCATGATACTGCACACGAAGCGCAAGCACAGAGAACAGAGGTCGCGGTACGGGTTCCCGGTTTTTGTCCGTTCTCGAACCATTCCGTGTATTTCCACTGTAGAAAAGGTTGTTCCAGGGCAGAAATGGACTTTTCATATTTGTCGACCAATATGCAGAAAACTACATCAGTATATCATCATAAACACAGCCGTTTTTGTCTTACGTGAACGTAAACAGATGAAAAAGAAAACACACATGACCAGTATTTTTAGATCTGCGTGCGTTCGGTGTTAAAGAGACAGCAGCCTAATAAACGCGCTGCCTGTCATTAATGTTAATCAAAGAACAAAAGAAAATCATTCACTGATCTTGACTGAATATATTTAATAACTTTAATTGATTAATCTATATTTTATTTATGAAAAGAAAACTATGCAGTGTTTTTAAACTTTTAATTACAGTTTCTGTACCTGAAATTTTGTTCAGTTGTATTTATTTATGATATTGCTAATTGATTTGTTTGTTCCTATCTTATTACTGACTGTTTACTTGTCTTTAACACTTTAATATTTGAAATTTATATTAATCTAGTTGTTTTTGCTGTGGTATTTTTTTTTAAAGCATAGGCAAAATTCCTCTTGCAGTGTTCTGTAGGCTGCTGATTTTTGCTCGTGTTAATCAGCTGCAACAGAATGCTTTGTAAAAACACAGAATAAATGTTTGACATCTAAATGTTTGACTTAATTTTTTTTATATTGGATTTTTTCATCTTATTGGAATCGAAACTAGGAATCGATAAGAATTGGAATCGATAAAGCAGAATCGGAATCGATAAAATTCAAACGATACCCAACCCTAAATCGGAGTTATATTAAAAATGGACTTCCAAGCTGTTTAATGGCAGTCAGCGGGTGTTGCAGTTCATCAGTCCAAAAGAAGTGAAATAAAGCACAATCATCCATAATAAAAAGTGCCTCACATGGCTCCGGGGGCTGAACAAAGGCCTCCTGTAGCGAATCGATGCGTTTTTGTAAGAAAAATATCCATATTCAAAATATAATAATCACTTTAATCTAGCTTGCACCAACAGTTGTACACGGAAGCAGCTCCGGGAGGA